AATCAGTCAACACCATCATTGGTCAGCAGCGGGGGGAGGAACTCATCGAATCAGTCAACACCATCATTGGTCAGCCGTAGGTGGACGAACTCATCAAATCAGTCAACACCATCATTGGTCAGCAGCGGGGGGAAGAACTCATCGAATCAGTCAATATCATCAGAGAATGTAAAGATGTTTGCAGCAGAAAGATATAAAATGTATGTCAGTGTTCTTGTGGACCAGCTCATCACAAAAATCTATGATAATGCCAGGGTGACTAGGACCGGTGCCGACATAATGAACATAAGTCATCAACTGCTGGAGGGAATATGGGCGGAGGTCAAAGACATTGACTTAACTGTTAACCCACAGATAATCAAAGACCTTGACAAAGCCATTTTCAAGGAGTTGCGTAAGAAGTGGCGACCTCAGAACATGCTGTATGCCTTTCTTTTAAGGGAGCCAGAACTTGAGGAATCAATTGTCTCCTCTTTGAAAAGACGCCTTCGCAAAAAGCGTGGCTTCCTCCTCTCCTTTTTTTCAAACATCTTTTCCATGTTCAGGAGATAAAAATAAAAGGTGGAACAGTGCACCAAGTCAGTGGATGCACCATGATGTTCGTTGCCACCTGCCAAAAGACTGAACAAGGAAAAAGTAGAAGAGCTCCCGAAAACTTGCATATTGCTATGTTACTGTACTAGACTAAAGACTGTAGACTGTACTAGACTAAAGGTACAGTGTGTAGAATTTTGTGATATCTAGTGTAGAATTTGCATGTTGCAGCTGAACATCCCTCGCCTCACCCTCGCCTTCCAAACATGAAAAAGAAACTATGGTAGCCTTTAATTGTCATTAAAACTCAAAAGGTGTTTAGTTTGTCCAGTCTGGACTAGTGTTGTCACGGTACCAACATTTATTTCGATACTTTTCTGTACTTTTCGAAATAAAAAGAGAACACAAAAAATGTCATTATTTACTTTATTTTAATAGACAACCTTAGAACTATAACATTATGCATCAGTGATTAAAATAAAATGACACAAAGACAGGCTTAAATATTTTCCAGAGCTACTATTGTGGAGAGTGAAGGAAGCTGGCGTTGCTTGCTTTTAGCACTGAATGTGGCTTTTTTTCATGGGTATATAAGTTATTACCTGTCGTTCTCTGAACTCCTTGTGCAGGTCTGGGTGCTTGTCCTTCAAGTGCTCAATGTTTTCAAGTCGAAGTAAATCCATGTATTACTTCGTGCACCTGGTTTATCTATGAGTTGCGGCGTGGTGATGGTTGCAGCAGCTGCCATTCTCTCTCTGCTACTGTCTCTCTCTCTTTTTCTCTCCTTTACCTCTCTCTGTCGCCAGACTCCTGCTCTGTTTGCTGCTCCACGCTCACCTGCTCGCCCCGGCTTTAATTGGTACGCGGTGATGTCACACAACGATGTAAAAAAAAAAAAAAAGTACCGGTCTTATCCAAGCGCTGTATCGTACCATTTTAAATGCATCAGTACCCCGGTACCAATTTAGTACCGGTATACCGAACAACCCTACTGTATCTGTATGAATGACTATATACATGTTTGTACATATTCAATATCCTAATAATTTTGCATTATTCACATGAACATAAAAGGTTTGCATTTGAATGTAAACACATTTATATACACATATATATTCATTCATAAATAGAGCTAGTCATCTATATCTAACATTTTTTTGTCCTGTGGAAAATGATAAAATAGTAACAATTTGGTCAAAACTAAAATAGAAGGACTTCCTGGTTTATCATTTATATATCTTTGAGATACAACAACAGGTTGGTGAGAAAATGTTTATTCATTGATTTAATGTTTGTTCTTTTTGAAGAAAACCATTTGCAGGTTTTAGCGACTTACATCTGCAGATCTGATGCTTTTCTACAAACATGTTCAACAGTGAAACTAAATGTCTTTGAGTTTTCGACTGCTGGTCGGAGAAAACAAGCCGTTTGAAGACACTGTACTTGGCTTTGGAAAATGACAGTTTAAATACTTGGCTACTTCCTGAAGACAAAATAATGCATCAGTTAATCAAGAGTCCATGATTATCTTATAGTAAAGCTAATAATGGATCTGTATATTTGTTACCTTTGTGCAACAGTCTGACGACGTTTAATTCAATCAGTGCACATGACAATTTTCGGCAAAATCACAAACTTTGCTGATTGTTTCAATATGTGTTTAATTTCCAAACATCACATGAATAAAAAGAACATGATCAAAGACACATGGAATGTAATTTCATACACAGCATGAATACTTGAACAAGACAAGAATGACACAGTACCGGAATGTTATTTGTCTTTAGGTTCAAATGAACCTATAGCCTTTAAACCTGAAACTGGAATGCTACACACTAACATTAATATTCTTAACATGTCTGTTCACCTGTCGGTAAACTGAGTCTGTTGTACCAAATGTAAGTGTCAGCATGTTAAATATCTGTCCCCATATTATAACTTGTGCTCTTTCAGAATGTAAAAATACTCTTTCTTTATCAATATCTCACGTAATAGGCACGTATCTTTGTCACCATGTGGAACTTAAACAATTGGTGGCTGGGTCCTGTCACTGCTACCTCTTTACAAATTAGTTTAAATAGCAGACAGGGCAACATGGCAATGCATTTAATCTATACCACAAAATATTTAGTTGTAAACACTGGACATATTTTCTTCCCATTTGTGCTTTCACACATTTAACACACCACAGTTCAGACATTTCCAGATGTTTGCAGGAATCCAGTATCACATTAGAAAAAAAACATCAAGAATCTTGCACTGTAACAAAAACCGACTGCAGCAAACAAATGACAAGAAATCATATTAAATGCTAATAAATAGGTGTCATAAAGTGAGGAGGAGGTTTCGTACAAAGGCGCTCTCTGAATTGCGTTGTTCAGGGCTACCTCGTAACCATTATCTCAGCTGCGGAAACAAGAGATTGAAAACATTTAGCAGAGTTGTGGCGTAGCAGCAAAGTTCTTAGTGCGCTCAGCACCTTGATGCAGTACTTACAGTTATATAGGCTATGTCACTGTCTGACCCCACTGCGCCATACTGTGCCGAGCTGCTTTCCGAACCTTTCTGGAAAATGTAAGATTTTGGCAACTCATTCTTGCATTCTGACATACAAAGATATATAAAACCCAACCCAACCCTTTTTGGTTTATAAAGTGCAAACTCTCCCACTGTGTAGAAAACAACAACAATCACCTGATTCAGTCAGACCAGCAAAACATTTTAAGATAAAATCTACCTCAACACACAACTAAGTTTGGAAATAATTCTACAAAATTGAATGTACAGATATACCAGTGTCCACTCTTAAAGCTAGGGTTGGTCAACCTGGAAAAGCTAGCAAGAGCCGGCTACACTTGCAACCGATACCTCCTACCCCCTCCCATCAGCCCTCACGTCAAAGCCACGCCCCCAAAACGCCTGAACGTTCACTGACAACTGTGAGAAGACGACTTCTCTGTGAATGAGTATCTTCTCTGCTTCAGTGTTGTATGTCTCTCAAGCTGAAGACTCCAGTCATGCGCAGTGAGAGCACGGGTAGAGTGGGCCCAGTCAGGCAGGTTGGTTAGTGACAGACAGGTACACCAGCAAATCATCTCATTTGGTCTGAATGAAATAATTGGTCGTGTCCTTTGAGGACCAACGTCCTTTTTTAATTTTTTTAGACAACTTCAGCAATTGATGGCTGTCGAGACATGAATCAGATTTCAACAAGTAAGATATAAAGTGTTTCAGAAACAAATGACCAACCCTACCTTCACTTCAATATTTTATGCATCCATAACTACAGATTATGAGGCTGGCATTCAAACACATCATTGCTGGTATGCTGGTGCTTACAAAAGATGGACGGTCTGACTGAAATCATGTAAAGTGCTCTTCATCTGGAAATTAGATTTGACATGAAGGAAAGGCTGAGGAAAAGGTGAGTCAGCAACCAGGTGGTTTGGTTTCTGAACAGACTGAAGGAAACAAATGCTATTTGCTTGAAAAAAAATCATTCCTCAAAGTTCATGTCCTTGAAATACAAATGATTTTGTTGCAAACAGTATAAATGTTTTCAGTTTTGTTATATTGATTTTCCTAAATACAAATCCCAACTTTTTTGTATTTGGACAGTTACATATTTTTGTTGTTCAGGCTCTGTGCTTCAGGACATTCAGAATCAAAATGTGAATTATGAATAGGTCTGTGTGCTTGTATTCAGACTAATGCATTAGTCTGCTCCATCCAAATCCTATGATCTGAACTGTAATGTTCCTGGGATATTTATTATCTCACTAGAACATTACTTCAGTTTTACTCTTAATGGTGACAGAGGAGAGACAATGGGAAATGAAGAGAATGCACCACAGAAAAACTCTGAAAGAAACGCCACAGACTTATGAAAGTCTCCAGAGAAAAGGAAAAAAACAGATATGGTTTTTAATTTGAGAGTTCAAGCCTTTTTTTGGCTTATGGTTGATTGCAGCCACCAGAGAGCAAAGTTACCTTTCCTCCCATCCCCACATGAGCAGTCTTTCCAAGACAGGAAAACCCAAAGACAAAGAGGACAGTCTTCCCAGTCTACTCTACATCTGAGGCATCATTGTCAGAGAGGAGGCAGTTGCTGCCTTTTACCCGGATGTAGTGGACATTGCGACTGCCGCTGTGTGAGGAGGCTCCACAGGAGCAGAGCGGACCGGTGAACAAGTTCTCGATGTCCTCCAGCTGCTGGCCCTGGGTCTCCGGGAGGCAGCCCTGAACGAAGAGGAGACCCAACAACACCAGGCCTGTGTACAGAAAGAATGCCCCTGGAGGAGGGATTCAAAAGCACATTTTTACTGTTAGTCTTGAGCAATGGCTGCCATTATGAAAATAAAACAGTTTGATATTTGTATGAGGTTGAAAAACAGAGGCTTCAAAGATCAACAAGTGTTAAGTGCGCTTGTGTTATCTTACTTTAAAATCATTTGCGATGATGTTTAATGATGTAAAATAATGCAATTCATAAACCTATAAAGTGTGGTTTAAGAGTCAACATGTCAACGTTTTGGGCAAAAAAAAAAGAAATCTATGTGTTACCTAACCTTAAAAAAGGACTTGATTTCATGTCACCATGGATAATCATCATTCTACGCAGCTTGTTTACCAGCTCAATTAAAGGATATTAAGGGCACTTTAATACTGCCCCTTGTTTTCACCCCTGTCCGATTGGTTGTCTGTTATGTTTTTCAGCAGGATTACGCAAAATCTACTGATCCGATTTCCTTGATGGGACCTTGGGGAAAAAAGATTGAACAGTAAATTTTGTTGTGGATCCGAACAAATGGGCAGATATTGGAATGTTTTTTCACTTTCCTCTACATTGGAGGTCATTTCTTTGAATTTTTACAGATTTCAAAGAGAATCATTCATGGATCCATACTAAACAAAATCAAACACATTTAGGAAACTAATATCTATGAGTGTGACATTTGGTGCAGCTTGATTGAGGGTAAGGAGAATGTTGGGCTGAGGAATACATTCTGCTCTCTTGCAAGCAAACCAGGACTTGTAAACAGTTCATTTCATATCCGCTGCCACTTTTCTGTTGCTATAAACAAGATGGTGTTTACAGTGACCACGTCTGGTTATATAAGGAGTAAAACAACAACATTATTTTAGGATCAGGCTAAAGCAAAAACTCCCTCTGAAGTTGCAGGAAGTTCTTCACAGACAACCTATCCTTACATTTCTACTTTTAAAAACGTAGAGATACATTAGAAAACCGAGTGGAATGAAGGGAAAATGATTCTTGAAACTTAAGGTAAATGTATTTATGAGGTGTTTTTCTAGATGACCACTCACAGCTCTTTACAGGTTTAGAATTCGCACATTCACACAGTGCATCTATGTGCAGCACTTTCTCTATCCTGCATCACTCCTGCTCTGCTGGCACAGCCTTCAGGGGCAGTATTTTGCCAAAGGACACAGAGGATGCAGAAAGGGGAGACCTATCTATATGCTAATCACAGAAGGAAAGCTGAGCTGGCAACAACTTAAAGTTGAGTTTAAATGCAAAATGGACACTGAAACCCTTTAGAGACAAAATTAAAACCAGCCGATTACTCCATGTAACTACAGACGCATCCAACACATCCAACATCCCCTGACCTCCTGGTAATCTTACCATAATAGGTTAGAAACTGAGCGACATGAAGGAAGGTCAGAGACACCAGTACGTTAAAGATCCAGTTGACCCCGGCTGAGCAGGCATTCCCGGTGCTGCGGGCCCACAGTGGGTAGATCTCAGAGTTCACTGTCCAAGGCATCGGGCCCATACCTGACACACAGACACACACAGAGGAGAGAGCCTGATATATATTCACAAGGATCATTTGCATTGCATCGCTCTGGATATCAGCAACCTAGCAGTACATTAGGTGTGTGTTGTTCTTTGTTAATTTGTGCGCACGACAGTTAATTCAACATATTTTTAAGGATTCTCTGTGTCCATACGTTGATTTGTTTGTAGCCACAATATCACCGCTCTCAGACTGGCTCAGAACGACATAATTTGCCGTTCGACACAATAATAATCTTTGCAAACACGTGTTCATGTGCATATAGAGCAGGAAGTGTGATCTAATCACAGAGGTAACAGGAGACACATTCAGGACACTTTAATACCAGGTGTGAGCAAACAAACGTAACATCAACTTGTGATCAGCTCTCTCATGATGGATGATAAAAGCAGGTCTGAACAGGGCCAGAGATTTGAGGTTTAAATTTTTACTTCATCATGATGGATTATATCACTGTTTTTCAAAGTGGGGGCCGCCAGGGGGAGCTAGGGGGGCCTCAGAAAAAAATAATATAATTTGGTTTGATTTCTTTTGTTCTGTTCTTATCGTCAACAGTTTGTTGAAAAGTTTGTTATTCAGTGGGAATATAATACAGTGTTGAAAACACGTCAGTTAATAATATTCTTATGCTAAACAAATGTAATAATTATTGAATAGTGAATAAAAGTAAGAAAAACATTCTAAAAGTTGATGTTTCTTTACATATTATGTAGCATTGTCTGTGGGTTTGCAAAGGGGGTCCCTGGCCAGAAGCTAATGCTGATTGGGGGGGCCATGGCATGGAAAGGTTTGGGAACCCCTGGATTATATAATGGTTTATACATTTAAAATTAAATCTACAGCTATGGCTGTGAGATGCTTGTAAGATTTTTCATACCTGGTGCAAAGAATGCAAGGTAGAGAATGAGACCCATCAGGACGATCCAGGAGTAGGATGTGGGACAGTAGTTGTACGCCCATAGTGGGGTGTCATTTGCCTCTGTCTGGTTGGAACACCTAGATGATGAAAAAATAAAATAAAATTAAAACCAACTTTACTCTGCAGGTTTTGCCAATCGGTGTGTTTTAAGTCAATCTTAATCATCCAGTGATTTTTTCAAATTACAACAAGGATGTGTCTTATTTAGCTTCAACTTTAAACATGCTGAAAGTAAGTATTTTTTTATTTTGATTCTATTTCATGTACAAAATGATCCAACTGCATTATTGACATTCACTAAAATGGGATTGGGATGTTGAACTGTGACACTCATGTATCCTTCTTAACTACTTCTCAACCTCTTCTTTACAAACCATCACACAGATAATCAGCATCTTACCCTCCCCACGCTGCATGATCTGTGGATGCTTGGTTGACGGGAACGCAGGAGGAGTTGTACACGCCGGTTCCATTTTCACGGTAACAAAATCCACAGTTGGGATCCAACATGCAGAATTCACAGAACCTGGAGGACAGAGCTGATTGTAAAACTTCTCACAGAGCCCATCACGCTATTTACTGAGCATGAGAGGCACTGGATACTGCTCTGTCAGCATTCCTAACTCATTGTACTGACAGGCATAGTGACTCTTGAGGCTCGGCCGACGCTGATTGTGGGAGCGGTGCCTATGCGTTGCAGAACGTCTTGCTTTTCATTTCAGTACCCAGGTTAGAGCGGCCGCATGTCTTATAATCTTTCACCACAGTTTTAATATCTGTTGAATATGTCACATTCAAGATTTGCAACACTTCCTGTACCCATCTCCCAGTAAAAGCACTACGTTACTGACCGAATCCATATGAAATATTTGCAAGACTGGAAGACGCACAGCTTCGTACTGCAGAGTCCTGGCATTTTGTTGATTACTGTGGGCATGGAGGGGGCTGGGAGAGCACCTCCACCCGAACCAGAGGATCAATCAGTGCAGGTAAGAGCTGTTAGCTGAGTGATCCTCAGGTTTAAAAGGCAGCGGCTGAGCTGCAGAGTGGGACAGAGACTTCACACAGAGACACCGACACACAAGGCCGCACATGAGCAAAGCTTGTAGAGGAGACGCGCATGAGAGACCGTGCTTTGACGCTGACACGCCAGCAGAAATTGCTGGATTTATGTTTGTATTTCAGTTTTGTTTTGCACCTTGTCTCTGAATAAAATGCTGAAAAGAAACATGTTCGTCTCTGGCTGTGTGGAGGAGACCCCAGTGGCATGGTCAATTGCAGCAATTACATAGACCAATTTTATTCAAGGAAATACAGTTTTTATGCCAGAAACCTCACATAGCAGACCCAGGCATTACACCCACAGAGGCAGGAAGAATATTGACATCACACAATAGAAAACTGGTACAATTCCAGAAGTTACATTCAACAGAGCTTGCTATTTGTGTAGAAAGAATATTATTTAGACCCAGAAAAGTTGTAATTGATATTACAAATTCTGGTTTTTGACAGCTATGAATTATCATTATTATTTTTTAAATCCTTTAAAGATTCTTATCATCAGCTTTCAGAGGTCAGGGTGATAGTTCACCCTTTGTAATTTTCTACATTTTCTTCCATCAGCTCCTTTTAAAGATGCCTGGCCGTGATATATTCAGCTGTGTTATGTGTGGGCAAAGAGACGGATGGTGACAGCCAGGTGAGAAATGTTCTTGTGGAGAAAAATTGACTCATGTCCCAGTATTTAAAAAGTTACATGACTGAGGCTTCGCACATTGCCTACATATGTTATCTGAGTGAATGAGACGATACACTATGGATCAAACAATGGACTGAAGCTACTGAAATGTTGCCACTTGATGATTTCTTACCCATATTGTCTGCAGGTGGAGTTCTGAGCTTCAGCTGGGTGCAGGGTGACGGGCGGGGAGTTCTGGGCAGATAACAAGAACCCAACTGCCAACAGAGTGAGACTCAGACCAGTACCTGCGTTAGAGAAAAGAATTCAAGTCCAACTGTTTTATATAAGACATTTAAAAACAATGGCAGTAGACCACAGTGCTGTAAGATAAAAGAAGAAAATCCAAAATACTAGAAAATGAAAAAATAACATAGACTAGCATAACAAAACAAAGCAAAAATAAATTAAAAATGCTATGATGTGGATATAAACAACTTAAAGATAATCAAAATCCTGTGAGAGACAAGTCTTCAGTCTAGTCTAAGTAAATTACTGTCTTTTTTAGATTTCTTAATTTATATGCAAATAGCTTTTGATAACTTAGAATTTTGCCTAGAAAATAAAAATAATGAATGTCAAAGTCAAGTTATCGGTTTGATTAAACTTGAGTGATTACTGTATACTATTATCTGTCAGCCTGTAACAAATAAACTCACTGTAGCATTATTCAAATGACTAACCTAAAAGACTGCCCAGGGTCAGCTTCCGGCGACCCACCCGCTCTACAAGCCAGACTCCAACCAGCGTGAACACGAAGTTGGTAGCAGACGTTGCAGCAGCTAACCAGATCGCCTGTTTATCGTCCCGCACCCCCCCCATCTGCAGAATGGTTGCACTATAGTACCTGGACGTGGGCAGAGAGGTTCACAGAACAGTCAAACCAATTTTATAGCCAAGTTAATGGTTTGTATTTGTATAGTCTTCTAATGACAGTACAGTTTTCCATTCACACATACATTCATACAGTGCATCTGTTAGCAGCACTTTTCGTTCTGTGAGAGGCAATTTGTGGTTCAGAATCTTGCACAAGGACACTTTGATGGGGAGTCGTCCTCTAACCCGCTCTACCCCTCAGCCGCAGGCACCAAATTGTGCATCTAAAGACCCAGCTCTCTGATGGGTCTGGTTTCCAGGGTTACTACCAAACCAGAACAACTGTGTCATGACGAGGTTTTACTTTTACATTGGTCATGTCAAGACAGTGAAAACACATGCTCTGACTTATAATTTGAGCTTTTACAGTGGTGGCCCATGTTATCAGGCAGGAGGGAGATAAGTACTGTGTGAGGGAGCGCAAACGAGATAAATAGCTACTTACATGACAGTGTTAATCCCAGACAGCTGCTGAAACATCTGGAGGCCACAGCCAACAATGAGAGCCCTGCGAGTCGGACCATGGCTAATGATCCGCAAAATAATGAGACCTCCTTAAAAAAAAAGTATGACTTATTACAAATTCAACTCCTGGAACTTTATTTGATTTTAGTGTTTAGTTTTTACTTTTCTTTTTGTCAGAAGGTTGTGTGAGTTTTTTTTCACCTCCAGCCGCCTCTTTCTCCTCTTCCTCGATGCTGGTTCTGATGGTGTCGTACTCTTCCTCAATGTTTTGGCCTCCCCTTATCTGACTCAGAGCTTGACGAGCCTCCTGGCTCCGGCCCTTTTGGAGAAGCCATCGAGGGCTTTCTGGGAGGAAGAAGAAACCGACAAACTGCAGCACTGCTGGAACAATGGACAGACCCAACATGTACCTGCAGAATGGGGACAAGGGGGGGGAGGAGGAGGAGTAAAGGTAGAAAAAATGAACAACCTGCTGACTCTCAACTTCAGGTCTGAAGACTCGCAGGGAACTTTGACAATATTCCAGGGAGTCGATTTAGAGCTGTGTGATTATTACAGAAGTACCTTCAAGAAAAGTGTACTGTTATGGAAGTCTTCTGGAAGCTGGTGAAAGGAGAACTGATGTCTTAACCAGAAGATTTGAATGTAGACTTGATGCATCAAGGAGACCAGAAGGTGAAACAACATCCAAACACTAACACAGTAACATGAGCTATTGTCGCCCCAACATGTCTCCCACAGCATCCCCATATATCTTCCTCTACTTGTGTCACCCATTCTAACAGCTCATCAATGAATGGCTAGAATTGCTGTCACTCTCTATGTTACATGTAGGTGTTCACATCCTGTTAGATAGTTCAATCTAAATATGCATTCCTAAACCACATTGTGTCCTCACGTCTGGACACAGGTGGAAAACACAAAAGAGTGGAAGTTGGTGTCTCTCTGTCTGGGACATCTGAGTTAGATATGAAAGTCTCTAAGTGTAGACACTACAATGTACTGTTGGTTGGTCCTTTATCTACAACCTGACCTTGGGTACCGCTTAGAGAGAGAAGGGAGACAGACACACTTCTCTTAATGGTGTACAGATATAATGTAATATACACTATATATACATAACACGGTATATAGTGGCATACGCAGTAATGTGTGAGGTTATATGAAAATTCTTCAACATGTACAAATGTATCGTCTTTTTCAGTGACTGCTCGGACCTTGGCGGGGATATGCACGCTACTTTTACTGCGATTTCAGGATCAGTATTGCACTTTTAAAGTCCAATCTATTCACAATCCCTTGCTTGCTTGTCCTTTGTACGTTTGCTGTAAAAATGACCCCTGAGGCATTAAAGCCAGTCGGTGCTGTGAGCGAACAAACATTACAGTGCACACAACTGGAGCTGACTTGAGAGAGACATTTTAAACAACAGGCTTGCTGATGTATAGGTTGTGCAGGACAATACACAGCATCAAATGCATTCAATTAAAGAAGAGAGCAAGTGCAGGCACCTCTGACGTGCTGCTGTCAGTGTGTAGGTTGGATGACTTCATCAACACAAAGCATGCATGGTTAACTTTCACAGCCAAATGCAGCAATATATTTACTAGGCAACATGGTCTGTTGGTTTCTGTTAAAGCAAAATGGGGAGAGCTATGACAGACAAAACCAAAGTGAAAGGGAAATACCTCCAGCCATCACGCCTCAGGTAGCTGAAAGCTCCATCCACCACACTGGCAATGAACTGGCCTCCAGTGATGAAGAGGGAGTTGATGGTGACCAGCTGACCTCTCATGTGTGGCGGGGAAACTTCAGCTATGTACACAGGAACTGTCATTGAAGCAATACCTGAGGCAAAAAAAAAAGAAGATCAGGTTTTTTTACGACAAGCACAGAAAGACTTCAACCTGCACACTTTGTGTATCTTAAGTTTAGTTCATCTTAAAGGTCTTATTTCATTCTGTAACATGATGACGAAGCCCTGTGCTTCCTTGTGGCTTAACAACCTCGGCGTGGAACAGGAGAAGCAGGTCAGATTGGTTGAAGTGAGCGATAGTTTGGCAGTGAACTGTATCTGGTCATAAGCCATGTGAAAGCAGGTGGTCCGTAAAGAAGCGGTATTCTTCCCAGTACTTTGTCATCGCTATTTTGAAAGGTGCTACATAGAGTTATTATTATTATTACTAATATTATTTTTACTATTATTAGGACTGAGAATAAATAGACATATTCGATATTGTTGCTTCTCTTTTACATTAAAACAATGCTTTTTGATATTTTCAAATAGGTCATTTAAACATGTTTGACCGTTTTTTTTTATTGAACAAAACATATAAAAATTGTCTAGATTTTGAATTATCTTAAAGCTTTGAAACCACCCAAAGAGCTGGTGACAAATCTTTGGTTCCAAACTCTTGAGGAAGACCATTGACTCCAGTGGGGGATTAAGGAGTCAAACCCTCAAACATACATGATTGAGCAAAGCTTTTGTTATTATTGTTAGTAAGTGACTATTCTTTTATCTGTTTCAATACTACTGACAGGACAGGGGCACTTCAGGGGTCAATCAGATATCAGCAGAGGCCAGTGCCCCCCCCCCCCGGTCCCACCCCTGGATCCACCCCAGATTGATTCCCACTGATAAAGACTGTGTGCTAACAAATTACCGCTTTTCACAATTTGCAAAGACCAGCTCACCTATGCCCAAACCAACAGTGATTCTGCCCACGAGCAGGACCACCTTGTCCGGGGCAAAGCTCAAGATGATGCCGCCGATGGTGAAGATGAAACTGGACACCAGGATGCAAATCCTGCGCCCCAGCCAGCCATTCAGGGAGCCACCGCTTAGAGCGGACACTGCCGCGGCCCCCACGGTACTGGAAACAAGCATCTCCTGCCAGAGGGCGTTCAGGTTCATCTCTTTCTTCAGGAGCAGCATGGCCCCAGAAACCACCCCGGTGTCGTACCCAAAGAGGAATCCTCCCAGGGCAGAGAAGAAAGCCAACATGTAGATGAACCCCGGTGTGGATGCATGTTGGTGCAAGAGATGATCCCCACTGGTGGCCGAGTCCTCAATGAGACTCCGCTCTCCATCGTTCTCTGATTTCTGCCTCCTGCTGACCACCGGGCTGCTCATGTGCTCAGGGCTGTATCTGTCGGAGCTGCTGGACTGGAAACAACCAGGGCTCAGGTTCATTTACCTGCAGCAGCTTCCTCTTAGACCGGGATGAGGAGGCTGGGAGAAAACATCCACACACACACAAGTGAGATCATGTGACCGTGTTATTACATACCACCTTATCTTATTATACAGAGGTCCAGTTCAACAGAGATAAGCAGAGATTCACTTCCTAACCACTCATAATCACCCCCTGTGGTTCATGGAGCCAGTAGCTCTGATTCTGCTGATTTAATGTATTTAAGCTGACTCCAGGAGTTTCCCGCTGAGCTCAGCTCCCCTTCTCTACCGCCATGTTTACGCAACATCGTCGCCTGACTTCCACGATGCATAATAACAGAAAGTTATGTCTCAACTTCTGATATAATGAATTATAATATTACAACCAGTCTTATACAATTAAAAATAAAACTGCTTAGCTGATTTACAGAAATCATTCAGAAATCGACTAACTCTGTGAGTTAAACTTTGGGAAGATAATGGTCACATATAGATGGTGATATAGAAATAGGGCTTTATCTCATAGTCATTATTAGTAATTCAACATTTACTGCTTATCATGATGATGAAGGCTAGAAGTACTAGCACGTGTATTGTCATATGTGATAGTTAAATTAAGGTGAGGGCTGTTTACAGGATGGGCTGGTTTGTGCTGCAGCTGCTGGGAGCTGCTGGGAACACACCTCTACATCTAATGTGTTGAATGAGGTAGCTGCTAATGAAGTCAGCCTGCAGCTAGACGCAGCACGTTAGAAGATAAATCTCGTTAAATAAATCTGGTTCCATAGATTTGACAAATGAGCACATGTCGTCACAGATCAGCTGACAGCCACAGAGGCTGGAAATACACGCAGGCACGAAGAGAAAGCCGCGAATCACGGCAGACACAATGAAAACCGTCGACAGCACACAAAAGTGTGTACGTAAAGAGTCAACATGTGATATGCGTGCAGAATAAATGAAAGTACCTGAGACGCGCTCGTGTCTGCTGCTGCAGTCCGGGACAAACAGGAAGTGTGTTAGTTGACTCAGATCACATGATACTCAGGGACATCAACACGCCCATGTGTGTGGTGACGTGACTTTCCCTTCTCTGTGGAGGTTACTGATCCATTACTGACACCACTGACACCACTGACATCCTTTACACGTGTCAGTGCATGTAAATAAATAAACAATGTAGAATCGTAGAAACAAATAATTGATCAACACATTTATAAATGATATTAACATGTAGAAACAAATGAATACCAAGGTTAATACTTTTAGAAATGAAATGAATATGTACATATATAGAAAAAAAATGGTGAAGAAAAAATCAAACAAATGTATAAATGTATTTGTTTTCATGTAATTTTTGTTGTGCCCTTCATACAAAAATGTATGCAAGAATATGCTTGAATATAAATTAAAGTTGCTGTTGAACACATGCTCATATCATTAATTTTACAAATATTACTTGACTCACCAGTAATACTTGTCACATTCTCTATAACAGAAAATGATGCGTGCAGTGTAAAAACCATAAGTGCACAAAAACAGGAGAAATAAGTTTCAAGTTTTATTTGTCATTTGCAAATTAACACAGAGTCAACAGTACAATGAAAGGTGTTGGGAAAGAAGAAACCGGTGCAGTGCAATAGTTGGATTGAAATTAAAGCAAGGAAGAAAGAAAGACTTGAAAAAAGACAGAAAACTACCAAAACTAAAACTTTATACATTCAAAGGTGCAGTGTGACATTTGTTGCGAATGAAGGAACAACTTTAACTTGATGGAGTGTGTGTGAATAGTTATTGGACATGTGTACAGCAACTACAACACATGTACATGTGTATGTATAGTTATTGCACATGTGTATGTATATGTAAGTTGTTGTACATGTGTATGTATATGTAAGTTGTTGTACATGTGTATGTATAGTTGCTGTACATGTG